TTTAATTTATAAAACAAGTAAAGAAAAACTTTCAAAAAATGAAGTAAATGTAGGGATGGCTAATATCACTTTTTCAAAAACAATGCAAACAAGATGGTAGGGATCGTATTTGCATCATCCCTACATAATAACACAGGCAAAAATTAAGATATAGCAATATATGTAACTAATCAATCACAACTGAGTTTAATCTATACTATTTTTGTCTGTTAACATTCTACTACACGGTGCTGTTATCCATCCCTATATTTATTTCATTTTTTTGAAAGTTTTTCTTTACTTGTTTTATAAATTAAAGAGAAAAGATACCTGACTTACCTTTTCTTTAGTTTCATTATATCTAACAGCTAGCTTTGAATAAATTTGTTTGTCTGTTTTTTATCAAGCATAAAGCTATACAATGGACTATCTGTGTTGTGCCCACCGCTGCGGGTATCGAAACCCGATTCTTTTCGTTGTAAGGCCTTAAACTTACCGCTGAATCACCGAATGTAGTTACAAACAGTCAAACAAAATGAAATCAAAGAATTAAATGTATCAAAAAATGTGTTTGTTTATTGAATTTCGCGCAAAGCTACTCGAGGACTGTCTGGACTACTCGTTTCTAATTCAGAAGTGATAGACTATATATAAAGCAGCTGGTCAAAACCACCCAACGTCAACTCTTGGGCTACTCCGTACTAACGGAAAGTGGGATTGACAATCACATTAAAAAGCCCAAAGGCTGAAAGGACGAGCATATTCAACGAAGGGAGTTATCGATCTTGGAACTCGCAGACTGCTAGTCCTAACCATCAGGCCGTAAATATTCAAAGCCCTGCAAATGCTAGTCCTAACCATCAGGCCGTAAATATTCAAAGCCCTGCAAATGCTAGTCCTAACCATCAGGCCGTAAATATTCAAAGCCCTGCAAATGCTTGTTTGTTTGCAATTAAGCAAAAAGCTACACAATGGGCTATCTGTGCTCTGCCCACCACGAGTATCGAAACCTGGATTCTAGCGATGTAAGTCCGTAGACATAATGCAGTGCCACTGGGGGGACCCTGCAAATGCATAGAATTTCATAACCATTAAATTTTGCATAGGAAGAACAAAAATATGATGCTAAACGTTTTCGACTTCGTTCTTTTGGCATTATAAACAAAGACACTGACAATTTTCCAATGATGCCATGTTAACAATTTGAGAGAGCTTAGTTTAACGTGAAGACTGCAATCAGAAAACGATTTGAGGAAAGCTGCAATTCAAAAACCTATTGATAAAATAAAAATGTCTTGAAAATACACAGATTAGGCAATTTGGCTTCTTAGTTACAGAACGCTTTGAAGGGAAACCTACAAAGTCTACAGCAAACAGAAACATTACAAGTTTTGCATATCAGGTTTCGATATAAATATAGACTGCACATGCAGCGGATGTGCCAAATAAATATTTGTGTTTTTCAACGTACTTTGATTTAAATAATATATATATATAATACTTTATGTTATAATTGATGTGACTCAATTTACCATAATATTTTGGTTTATCAAAATCGATCATGTATTTTGATCAATATTTTACCAAGTAACCACGCACTCAACCTCTTGGCCCATTGGATCTTTCGTTTATGCAGGGGATTCAAAATACATTTACTTATGATCTTGTGCTTAAATCAGTATAAAAAAAGAAGCTATATAAAAAATATTTTTGTGTAACTGTAGTATGTTTCTTTGTTTGTCGGTATTCGGTACTCCCACGTATGAACTGAGTCGATTGGATGTCGTGATGACGTAACGATCTACTTTTCGTGTACAGAATGATAGATATAAGACTCAGAGGTACGTAAGATAAAACGTGAGAGCCAACCTGACAAACCAATCTCGTGATCTATATACAGGTAGCGCTTTTAACACGGGAGTCTTGAACCTGTCGTCGTAAAAATCATTAGATCAAGTACGTTCTATCCCTGAAAAAGGCTGTGTAGTCCATAACACACACACGTTTTTATTCTCTTTCATATAAATATTGAAATATATCATAGATTGGGACTCGAATCCACGATGACAACCAGTCTCGTGACTATCATATTGGTCTTCACCTTGTTGGTGAGCAGCATACCAGTAAATTTCAGCTTTCATGATACAGGTAAGTCAAATGTAAGTAATTTTTAAGGTGTTGCTTTTTTGAACTCAGCTTTAGGAACTGAAAGGGATAAATTCCTTTAGTAGGAAAGATTCAATGATCTACACACGTTTTACTTTAGCGAAAAACAATTCGGAGTCTACCATAAAGATACCCCCCCCCAAAAAAAAACGTATCTGAAATTAAAAAGAAAGTCTGACAACAACTTACGACTGATTAAATATGCACGTAAGTGATAGCTCTACCAGAGTTTCTTTGCCATCAAGATAAACGTATAAACATCGCTACTCGCAATAGAAATAAATAGCTATGTTTTAAAATACTCTAAACTTTCCCATAGGACTATGGTTTGAAGAAAAAATAGATCATCCGTGACAGAACCAAATAACTGCAGAAAAGAACTGAAAACATTATTGCCACTAAAACGTTCATAAAAGATGCTGGATTTTATAAGTTAAGAACAATTTGGTAATCGGTACTGCTTTTTGCCCCCCCCCCCCGCTCCTAATGGCTCAGCGGTCAGTCTGAGGGCTCACACTGCTAGAAATCGGGCTTCGGTCTTTGTGGTGGCACAGAACAGATAGCACATGCCCCGGCATAGCCAGATGGTTAGGGCGCTCGACTCGCAATCTGCGGGTCGGGGGTTCGAATCCCCGTGACATCAAACATGCTCGCCCTTTCAGCCGTGGGCGCGTTATATATGACGGTCAATCCTACTATTCGTTGGTAAAAAGAGTAGCCCAAGAGTTGGCGGTGGGTGGTGATGACTAGCTGCCTTACACTACTAAATTAGGGACGGCTAGCGTAGATAGCATATTATATAGCTTTGTGCCCATCAACAAACAAACTTCACTTCCTGTTTCAAAGTTTCAGGAAACACGGGTAAAATTCGAATATTATTTAACAACAATTACTGAGCATTTACTAGAAGAAAAATAAAAGAGATAAAAATTAAGAGATTTGCTACAGTTCCAAGAAGGGTTATATCTAGCATGAACGTTTCAATTGATAAAAGTTTTATTACAAAATATTCATGTTTAAATCGGAAAGTAACTTTATTTTTCTACTGGCCGCGTCTAGGGGTAATAGTTTCGGGGTTCCGATTAAAGGGTCCATAGTTTCAGACGAGATGACGCTGAACATACTCTTTTCAACTTTGATAGCTGTATAAAAATGACAGCCGGACAAAGCTCCTATTGCGGCGGGTGCCGTTGACTGGCTGCATTCCCTCTGGTCAGTAGTTAAAAATTAAGACTTATATACCCGAACCCTAGAGACCTCTCACCTGGCCGATTAGCTCATATTTCTATAAGATCTATTTAGGTTAAAAATCTCGATTCCGATAGTACTGTTTTGGCCCCCCAGTGGTACAGCAGTATGTCTGCGGACTTACAACGCTAGAATCCGGGTTTCGATACCCGTGGTGGGCAGAGAACAGATAGCCCATTGTGTAGCTTTGTACTTAACTACAAACAACAACAACTACTACTGTTTTGTGTTATAGGATATTACCGGTGAACTTACTTTGGTATCTAACGCAAAGTTACACAATGGGCTATCTGTATTCTGTACACCGTGGAGAATCGAATCCATGATTTTAGCGTTGTATATTAGTAAACTTACCGCTAACCCACTAGAAAACCTTGGTAAAACCATACTAACTTACGGACAGTACCACCTGTACTAATTAAATGAATTATGGTCTTTTGGAAGGATTTTAGTTTATAAAACGTAGCTGATACATGAAATAAGTTTCATCTTTAATTTAATTATGTTCTTAAGTTCGAACTGTGATGTAGTAGAAACCTATCCTCAGAATGTTCCAGACTAATATTTTAGTTGCTTTTAGGGTCGGCATTTATACATGGCTATAGTTTAAGTTTTATTTTCCCAGTAAAATGGTGGTTAGGACATTGTCGGTGATTCGGCTAATTAGCAGAATACTTCTATTCACGTCTCTCCCATTTCTTCGCGTCCCCCGATGGGACAGCGGTAAGTCTTTGGATTTACAATGCTAAAATCAGGGGTTTGATTCTCCGCGGTGGACACAGAACATAGTCCAAGATGACTTTGCTCTAAAACAAAATAAATATTTCTTCGCTTAAGGTCTTACCATAAAAACCATGCAAATTTACTATATATACAATACGTATTTGTAAGCTCAGTGTCTTTATGGATCAGCTCCCCTGGTGGATCAGCGATAAGTCTGAGGGCTTATAACACTAAAAATTGGGTTTCGATACCCGTAGTGGGCAGAAGACAGATAGCCCATTGTGTAACTTTGTGCTTAACAACAAACGAATTTTATAGATCACTGGATTTCCTTCTGTGGTTCACGGCTGCTGGTCCGTAGAAAGATTACACGATTACGAAATGGTAACGAACAAAAAAGTTTGAGAACCGCTGATATAGATAATAAATACATTACAACAGTTGAATTCAAGTACACACACACACACACAATGTATCTTTTAGTTGAAAATTTTACACAATACTTGGGGGACACATTATTCATTTACTTGCCACGTCGGTTCATTTGTTGTTAAACACTTTCGTAAAATGGAGGGATAAAATTTAACACCTGCCACACAAGCCAGCCCAGAATAATTTAGTACTGAGCTTAAGATGGTCAACAGGGAAGCCATTCAGGAAAATGGTGATTTAGGATTATTTCGATAGATCTCGATGAAACAAGCTTGGTACAACTTCTAAAACAACAACAACAAAACACACACAAACAACAACTAAATATGATGAAATCTATGTGGTGGTGCCATAATGGGCATTATACCATCCTTCTTATATTTACTCTTCATTGCAGAAATGGCGTTTTTAATTTGAGAATCGCTAGAGAAATATTGTAATGTATTGTGTATCTGCTTCAACTTCAACACTACATTTTTGGGCTTTATTGTGCAATTAGTTTCACAAAGCCTTGAAACTAATGATTTCTTATATATAATTTCAGTTCTCCTTTTTGAAGTTAACGATACTATTGTATCCTATGTTTATGTTTCTACGTCAATGCAGTAATCATTTGAGAAATCTCCAATTCAGCTGGTATGCCAAATCGATTGGATATTTTCGAATAAATTATTCCTTTATCCGACCTGGACCCGCGGTTTAGCTTAATCGCTACACTTAGACCTTCACATTCACAATCACATCTAAAACATTTCAAACATCTTTCATTGCTATACACCTGGAAAAAAGTTAAGCACCCCCAAATATTTTTCAGGATTGCTTATTGG